TTGCTTCATATCTTGTAGATTGATCACTAGCTGATTGCATAAATAACAACAAATACGAGGAACCTCCAAGTGGTGAAACTGTCTAAGATTTCACCTTATTGTTGCGGGGTCTTGAGTTTGAATTCCAATGATTCCAGAGCCTTCAGTTGGTGGGAGCTCAAGATTTTGAAGTCATATAAAGTTTCATCAGCAGCCGTTTGAAAGGCTTTACATGAAAACATGGGTTCACATTGGGAAAGGTTTTAGCCTTCATGCTTCCATGTTGGTAGCTATTGTGCGAGAGGGGGGAGTTAGCTAGTCACACGTGATGACTAATAAATCGTTCCCTCCATCCTTGCTGGAAACAACCTTTGTGGAACTTTGTGGACTACTGTACACTGTTGCTAAGATTCACTGCAGAAGTATTGTTACTCATCCAATGATTAATTCTAAAGCAGTTAAGAAAATGTGAAACATTATTTGTTACTTGTCCACTAACACCAGCATTTTATGATAAATGATACCAACTGAAGTGAATTCTGGAGTGTCCTGAAAAAGAAACGGCATGTTAAATTTGTCAGCAGTCACAAAGACAAGCATACAAATCCAGTGTGTGTATTTTGTGGTGCGGCATGTGGTGCTTGGGTGGTTTGAATGGCTTATTTTATATTCGTCCTTTGGCTTCAGCCTCGTCACTGGAGTCTTTGTCCAACACTGACGCATTCTGCTTCAGTGCATATAAAGCACAGACTGGATAGATCCAGTGTGAGTGGTGTGAATCACTGGACCAGCTTTTGGCTGTTGCTAAAGTGATTAAAGAAAAATGGAAGTCATAGCCAGGCTAAAGGCCCGGTTGTAAGTCTCATTTGCTAACATTAATATCTAACCACAAGACATTGATCAGGACCTGTCTAGGATGTGTGTCCGATATTTTGTCTGGAAAGAAACTCAACAGTCTGTGTTGGCCAGGAAAATGTGCTTCAGTCCATTCCAGCACCAGTCCTGAGACTCCTGAAAACCCATCTATATGATTAATGATTAGTTTCCCGCTGGCTTGTAATAGGGTCATAAATCAGTTTCCTGATCTCTTACTTCGTCTTCTTTTTCTTTTTCTTTCTCACCCTTTTGTCTATTTAAAGCGTATTTTTTTTTGACTTGGCAGAATTGCATGAATATTTCAAGACATTTTCTCTTAAACAATTTTCTATGCGAAAATGAGATTTTGCTGTGAACATGAAAAAAAAAAACGCACTGTCTTTGGTAGGGGAAGTGCTTCATGATGCAGCGATAATGCCGAGTGACTTTATCTCTGGTGATAGTGGTGTTGTCCTGTGATTTTCTTGCAGCACTTTTGAGATTAAGTTGCTCAGAAGCTGCCAAACAGAACCCGTAGAATGCTCTCGCTTTTCTAGGAAAGCTTGTCTGTGTGCTTTCTCGCTTAGCCGCTGACCTTCTCTTCTCACATAATGAGTCACACTGTTGCAAGGATGATGAACGCACACTGAGAACTGCTACCGCTGATTTAATAACATTACTAATAACATTGTGAGTGCATCAGTTTATAAAGCGTAAGTAGTGCATGAGTGAATTGTTTTGAATATTAGTTGATAGCTTATGGCTATACAATATGACTATAACTATCGTATTGAATGGGTTGTTTGTAAGTTGAGCCGATCACCAACATTCTTATGGAACGATGCTAACATAAACCTCCACACTAATAAATATCACTAAAGGCACATCTGTAAAATGGATGTTGAAATCGGTTAATTCTCTTCTAGACAAGCTGGCTAAACGCTGTTCAAGCACTATTTGCTTCACTCAACTTGGCTAGTCATGTGAAAGTAATTTGAATACTACGATGCCAAATAACATACTGCTTTCTTGCTACTGTCATTAATCCAAACATGTCTAGAAGAAATATACCATTTTGTTGTCCAACTTCATCTCGTTTGCGCTCATGCTTTTGGAAAAACATCTTCCAAATGTGAGGGTGTTTTTTGTTTTTTGTTTTAATATAAATAGACTTTATGATGCCAGTAACTCAGTGGTAGGAGAAATGCCATTTGTTGCCATTATGTTCTGTATTAATAAATACGATTTATATATATCCGTCCTAGACTATCCATCTGGAGCTCGTGTTTTGTTCTCATTCTACTCCTAGGGCTTTACTAAGGAGTAAAACATGGCAGGGATGGCTGTTATTGGAAAATCATCAACTCGGGGGTGTAATGCGGCCCGATGCAAAGCAGCACACCGTTACTTTTATGTTAAACAGTCATTCCCTCACAAGGCTCTTGTTTCTCTCTCTCTTAAGTTAAGGCAAGAGCTAGACAGCTTGTCATGTTACCAAGAAACTGCAAAGAGCAGAATCCTCCGTTCATAGACTTTTCCTTGGCGGAAAACTTTGGTGGAAATGAAACAGCTTTGCCACTGAATGTTCAAAGCACTAACACTGGAGACTCCTTCCATAAATGTTACTTAAACGGCTCCTCCCAGAAAGCTTTACCATGTCGGTGATTACAGATACGTTTAATCTGTTCGTGTGGAGCAGCCCTGTTACAAGTCTCTAAAGGAGGTTGTCACTATGTAAATGATAATGTATTACAGTGGATTAATATAAATCCATGACTTGCCTTGCAGCCCAACCTACTATCCGAGCTGTGCTGTTAGTAAATCAATCAACACCTTCTGACCAATCTGATTTGAGAATGGAACAGCGTTGAGCTATAAGTTTCTTTAACAGCAAGGTGTTAAAGAAAATCATTCCACGCTCTTGATATCAAGTGTGATCAAGGGTTTTAGTTGCTCCAAGTCTATGGAACAGTTTACCGTTTTAAAATAAAGATATTTAAATCAATTTTAACATGTTCTTATTGTCCCTGGATGTTCCTATGGATGTTCTGTAGCGTTCAGGCATGTGCTTTGCTATGATCTGGCCTACTAGTGGTTCATCTCTTGGGGTCTTTTCTAGTTTTATTGAATCTCTTTCATTCTGGTATGTATTTTATGTGGGTGTAAATTTTGTTTAAATTTTCTTACTACACAACCTGACACGTCTTAAAATGTCTCCTATAGATAAAGGGGACTTGACTTGTCCTGAGGCAGTTTTCACCTGTCTGCCTACCATGTATTCAATAATTCAACCAAAGTCCCCGTTCCTGGCAACATTGGCATTCAGATAGTGACTTCAGTCTTAGCACCTCAAGTTCTTGCCACATGCGACCACAATTCGAGACAGGGTCCACTGATTTTCCATGCAGAGCCATTGACGAATTCTACAACTTATCAAGGTTCATCTGATAAATTAGGTTTGTACCGTTACTCATTGCTCGTTATATTTCTAAAACATTGCTATAACCCAAAATTTAAAATAAAACAGAATAAAATAGAAATTCAGATTCAGGATCTGTGACAGAAACTACACAGCCAGGATCTAGAAAATTGGTCAGGTGTAACGCAAGAAAAAAGACCCACTTTTCTTTTACCTGCTCTAGCTAAACCAGTGCCAGCTTCTGCAGATCTGTTTCCATTAATTGACCATCATTACCTGAAATTATCCAGTAGACTACACAGCATGAAATGGCATTTGTACAATTTCATGTGAGAGGAGATGAAAATGGGGCTGCTGGGAAACTGTTTTAACTGGAGCTTGATATTAGAAAACCTTGACTTTGATTGCATCAGTTGTGATTACTTAAAAATCCCTGAGCACCACTTGTGTAAATAATGAGCAGCTTTATTTTTTTGTCAGGCTCTTGCCTTTGCTGGTTTAAAAAGAAATAAACCTGACTGCTTTCAGCACCTCATTGCTCTAATTTAGTAAATGCACTGCTTGTGATAGATTGGAATTACAGTATTTTTTGGGACATGACTGATAATCTAAAAAGTAATTGGGAATATAAAGAGCTTGATATGTCTGAATACCCCTAAGGAAGGATCAAAAGAGTTACGTTGTTAGGATTTTATGTTTTTGTCTTTTTCTTCTGTAAATTGGGTTGATGAACTTTGTACTACATTGCTCCATGTCTGTTTTGTAGTGTTCACACTTTCCTTCACAGACTAGAAGATATTTGTGTGAGGTGTGAGCCTAAAAGGTTTAGTCACTGAAGCAAGAACCTACAGGTGTTTCTGAGAGTGCTCATGGAAATACACTTGGATTTTTCGTTCAACAATCCAGTTAGAGTCCGTGTTTTCTGATAGAAGTGCACAATCCTTTTCACCCCTTCGGCCTGTTCCAGCCCTCGGGCCTCATGGCGGCCACATGGCAACATCTCTCCTGAACACAACATTCTCTCCTGAATGTCTAAACCAAGAACTCACACCAGGCATGCACATCTAATCCATGCCTCTTGTGACTAAATTTCCTTCCTCCCAGTGTGCATAATGCAATGGTGCACTTTATCCAGAAAAAGAAAGGCCATACTTGCAATAGTGTCAGAAGGACATGGGGTGGGAAGTCAAAGCTGGGCCTGCTGTGATTATAACCAGACACTGTATGGAGTAGAGACAGGTCACCGCTTGAAATATAAATGGAGCTGCATGTAACACTCAGCTGTATGACGCAAGTCCTTACTTCAGTCGCCTTATTGACGAGGGTGTAAAGAGGATAAAATGCCACGCCTAGCAGATTCTTACACTGACGCAGGCACAGATTTAGGGCACGGTCTCTGCAATAGTCCAGACTGGTTTTAGACTAAGTCCTCGTAATGGATGCATTATATTTTAGTTTCCTCTTGCGGCAGCCAAGCTTCGGACTGGATATGATGAAAATGTTTCGAATAAGTAGGTCTGCGTGAATTTTCTGTAACAGCGCAGCTGACGGTAGTGCCGGCTGTACATTATGAGCTTGTTCTAATACATTATTGTTTCTACACTGAAAACCCTAACAAGTTGATTGTACTCAATTGATTGAGTAAACCCGTCCCCTCAATTTAACCGAGTAATGGGTTCTGCCAAAACTTGCATATTCATGTAGACTCGATTTAAATTTTTTAATTCACTTAACTTGGTGCTTATGGTCCCTGGAGGACTAGTGGTTAGGCCACAGGTAGAGCTGCAGCCCGGGTTCGATTCCCAGCCAGGGAACCGACCCCAGCCACTGGGGTTGCAGGCAACAGTGCGCTCTCAGTGCCAGTCGCAAGCCCGGATAAAACTGGGGAGGGTTGCGTTAGGAAGGGCATCGCGGACCAATACATGGACCAATGATCGCGGTGGCGACCCCTAATGGGAGCAACAACAACTTAACTTGGTGTTCATATAGTGTACTTAAATAATTAAGTTCACATTAACTTTGTGTTTGTGTAGTGTACTTTATAGCTTACTGACCGTGAATCGAACCCGAGCCGCAGCAGTGAGAGCGCTGCATACAACCCACTAGTTCACCAGGGAACCAGTGTACTGAAATAATTAAGGTCACTTAACTCGGTATTACACTGGTACCAGCAACAGAGGAGACGAAGAGGACCACCTTTTGCAATTATCTATGCATTAGTTCTCTTGTTGCCAGGCAGAACTCCTTGCATGGCCAATCACATCATTTGAATTCATTTGAGTTCAACACTTGAAATTTTAAGTTTATGTATTTTGTAGGTAAATAACTTAAACAAACTTAGACTTTTGATTTATAGGTAAAAAAAAAAACGCAACATTTTAAGTAATGTTTAGTCATGATTACTTGATAGTTTAAGTAAAGACAGCATTAGGGTTTACAGTGTATAGCAATAGTGTACAGCTCATACACAGGGACTTGTCTGTCAGATGCACCGTATAATCTTGTCTATCAGTAAACCGATTAAGAAAATGTGTTATTTATGAAAGAAAGACGTACATATAATCGTTGATATGGTGAATTTTTCTTTTAGGAGATGTTTATGTGGGTGTTAACGCTTTGAAATGGTCAGTTAGGTTTCCAAGAGAGGTAAATCTTCATGACTGAGGAGTTAAAGCTCTTCGGTTTCTCAGTAACATGACTAGCTTCAGTTTTTTTGTCTTATTAACTTTGGTCAATAGAAAAAAGCAAGGCTGTTGAGGGAAAGACTGTTTATAGCTGCTATAACGTTTGTGGTAACATTGTTTCGCAGGCATTACGTAACCCAAAATGTAACTGTAAACAGTTTAAAAAGTGTGACCTGTTATTCGTTGATGAGTTAAATTTGCAATAGTTTGCAATTTAGTGTGGTATATGAGGAATAAACCACTGAACATGCTGTTGTAGGAAAATAATTCACCTCGGGGTGGTAACAGTGGCAGGCTGCATCACACCACTTCATCATGGGTTATTTTTCTGTAACAGTACGACAGTTGGTTTTTGTTTCTTCCATAGCTACATCTGTAAAAACAGAAAAGATGCCTGTGATCCCCCTATTCCATGAGTAAAGGCAGTACTTTGGCTACTACATTAATAATAATGTCTCTTGATTTGGCGTAGATGCCAACCAAGTGGAATGTTTATGAACTTTAATAGAAATAAACTGAACAAAAGAGCAAAAAAAAAAAAACATAGGTTAAAAAATGGAGCAAATTGAGGTTTTAATTGGAATTGTAATTAAAATAAAGACATTTGGTCTTTGATGCACATATTGGTGCTGCATGGTTTAAGCCAGAGACATGTCTTAGTCAGGAGCATGGCTGGGTTTCCCACGCTGACTCATGTGCAGTTCGATACTTAATCTTTGCCTCTGCAGGGCTTGTGCTATTCGTCTCTTAATTATGCATGACTGCGTAAATAATGCTCTGTCCCAGTCAAAACAGAAGGTAGTGGTTTTGGTTTGTGTTTGTGGTCGTCTTCAGAGGCACAAATTTCACCAGCAACCACATTTGAATATTGGTCTCTGTCTCACTCATGCTCTGATTCTCTTTCGGTCTCTCTTGCTCTCTTCCTCTTTCTTCTGGGTATGACCTGCCTAGTAAATGTCAGGCTTTTCCCGCTCGATCAGCTCTCCATGTCTTTCCTTCAGTAACATCTGGTGTGTGGGGGATGGGTGAGCTTTGAACAAGGGTTTATGAACTTGTGCTTGTTTGAAAACGGGCGCAGGATGAAACCAGCCCCTGAAGGGCTGAGGGTCGGCAGCTCTTGACTTCAGTTAAGAGTTTAATTGATAAATCATCTGTGCCAAGAAACCATTTTGCGATTTAAGAGCCTCAGCTTTTGAAGGGCGAAAGATTAGTAGGCTTGTTAAAGTTCAATAAGCTTATAGTTGGTTTGCTAAAATATCTTATACCACAGCATGGATGAATGCTCGAATCTGATTGGTCAGAAGGTGTGCATTATTTTCATATAACAGCACAGCTAGGAAAGTAAAGTTTTGGCTTTAAAATTAACGATAGGTTAATATTAATGCGCTCCTTCTAACACATTGTTGTTTCTATAGTATCGGTTTATACACAGGCACTTGTAAAGCAGATGCTCCAAATAATCTAAGACTAAGATGATAAATGGATTTAAAAGCTTGTTGTTTAACAAAGTAATCCAGGTGACCGAGAGAGAGAGAGAGAGAGAGAGAGAGAGAGAGAGGGAGAGGCTGGTGAGGGAATGACTGTTTATCATGGCTATAACATAAATGAGAACAGGAACTAACTTGTCTGTTGGACATTCCACAACATTAATTCTAACTATAAACCACAACCTTTAACAAAATCCCCAACTGACACCACCACCACCACCACCACCACCACCGTACGGAGTGCACTACTTTCATATAACAGCACAGTCTGTCATATGTTAAACTTTACTTATAAAAATGACATTTTACACTACACTACATTGATTATTACTGTCAGCACAGACATATTCGTTCATGTTGGCAGTTTAAAATTAGTCAAAATCAGTAAACACTAAATCTTGCAGTTAGCTGTTAACGCTTGAACATACATAACCACCTACTAAAACCTTAAAGATAAAATGATTATTGCCGTAGTTCTCGGCAGGGTGTTTGTAACTGTACAATCAAGTTGAAAACACTCGTTATATTTCCAGTAAGTGAATCTTTTATGTCCCATATGCTCATCTCAGAAGCTGAAGCTGTAAAAGGATGTTGCTCTGGGTTTATGTGCTCTCTGAGTATCACACTTGTTGGCTCACTACCGTGCACAAATTTTAGCTGCAGTTAGAACTGGCTGTTGGGTTCCAGTTGTCTGTATGTTGGCTGTAAGTGTTGGGGACGTCTGTAGAATAGCCAGATTAATTGTTTTATTTCTTTGCAACGTCAAGCAATGCTCACAGGATTCCTAGCTCTCGTTCCCTTTCAGTAACCAGTCCTTGCGTGATTATGGTGAACAGGAGCGGCTGTAGTATGATGTAACACGCCGCTGAGCCGGCCGTGACCTCGTCTATTAGAATGCACGTTTATGCTGAAATGTAAGAAACATCTGTTCGTACAGGTAGAGATTAAGATCAGGGATGATATGTATAAAGTAAACAGAGGTAAGAATAAAATTAGGGTCTTTAAATACTGAAACATTCGTAATGCTTATTAATCCGAGGAATGTAAAGCAATATACAAAAAGTCTTTGGCCTTAAAGTTACTCTTAGTATTCAGAGGCGTCTCGACCTGAATGCACTGAGAGAGAAGATCTTCAGCTCTCGGGAAAATGATGGATGATGCAGTTCTCATAAAGATGTAGCTGATCGATCGTGACGTTGTCTTTTTTTTTTTTTCTCTCGCAGATTTAATCAGTGATCAAATATTACACAATTACAGCCGATTGAGGCACTACCAATTTGGACACACCACAAAATGTGGATTGTGCATATAAATAAAAAAAATAATCTTAATAAATATTTGCTGAGATCAAACCACTTTATTGTTGACTTCAGTTGCTATACTTTCACTGTGTCGTCGCTGTTCCCGTGACGTCTCCGCTGGAGGAACCAATCACAGAACCAACCACTTCGGCCAATAAGCATGAATTTCGTGTGCAATCGGTCTTTTCTCACGCTATTCTGTGGTGCACGGCATAGCTGGATGTGAAACATTAATCGCCTCTTCCATCTCGTGCCAAACATTTTTCTGATCCTGACTACTCTGATTGAACCCAGATATAATCTTTATGTTGTCCTTTCACTCTTTCCTCAGCGGTCGGTCCAGTGGAGCTTGTATTTGAGCAGAGAGCAATTAGATATTCTCTGTAATCAGTGCTTGGAACTGGATGTCCTCAGTGGAAGTGGAATTAAATCTGTTATGACTGATGCTGTAGCTTATTAAATGCAGGTTTTTTTTTTTTATTAAGTATGACTGAACCATGCTGTTATTATTGTTATCATCACTTTGTCATGAACAGAAGAGTTCTGAACAGGTATAATTGTGCTTTGTCTACTCGTCTGTTGGCATCTATATGGACATGAGGTGTGGCAGTCTGGTGTACTTCTTACTGCTCTCAGAGGATTAACTTCTTCAGCTCGCTACTGTTCTAACACGTTTTACTCCGTCTAAGAATGTATTTGGTCTTAAGTACTCTTCTAAGACTATTTTTAAGATTTAATTCTCAGAAGCGTTACACATACTACTCAAAAAAGACTCCAAAGAATTGTGTTATGAGCTGCAGTATCAGGCCTCTAGCAAGGAGTAGGAACAATGTATGAATGCAGTTCTTTGTTTTACATCATCATGGTGTCATTGAGCTCTTGTGCTGATGGTTACTGGTTAGTGCCACATCCTGCTTGTATCTGTGTAGACGTATTGTACCTGTGTCGTGTACTACGCAGCTAACAGTATGTAGATACCTGACCATCACACCCCTATGTGCTGGTTGAACATCCAAAACTATGGAGATTCATGTAGAGTTGTTTCCTCTTTGCTGTTATAATAAGCTCCACTCTTCTGGGAAGGCTTTCCACTAGATTTCGGAGCATGGCTGTGGGGATTTGTGATCATTCAGCTACAAGAGCATTAGTGAAGTCAGGCACTGATGTTGGTGAGGAGGTCTGGGGTGCAGTCGGTGTTCCAGTTCATCCCAAAGGTGTTCACTGGGGTTGAGGTCAGTGTTCTGTGCAGGACACTCGAGTTTTTCCACTCCAACCTCCACACACCATGTCTTCATGGACCACAATTTGGGCATCGTCATGCTGGAACAGGTTTGGGCCTCTT